GAATGAACTGTAAATCATAATATTGTGATCTATTAAATTCTATTCATGATTTTAATTTTATAATATGGATTGAAGATTTTCAGAACTCTTGTAAGACTGTGAATGCCCCAGAAAGAAAAAAATACTTCCTCAACAGAAGATCATAATCATTCAAATATGCCAACTTATACTGGTATGTACTGAAAGCATAAGCTCACAAACGAAAACTGAGCTCAGAGATTTCTTTCACGTTTTTAAAAAATATTTATTTATTTATGCATACAAGAACTGGGGTACAGGCCAGAGGTGTTGGGGATGAGAGGATTCACCAGAGACACAGTGGGGAACAGAACTGGGAGATTGACTGAAACACACTGTTGAGGGGAGCAGCGGGAGAGTCCAGAGAGATCTGCTGCCCCATGTTGGTAGATCCCTGGCCGGGCATTGAACTTGTGCTGCAGTGGCTTGTGTAACTTCATAGGTTGCATCCTAACCACTTGTGCCACCAGGGAGGCCCCAGAACTTTATTTCTCTTGACATTATCCCTTTCTATACTATTCCAATATGTAATTTAAAATTTTGCTTGAACTTTGACAGGAATTTTCATTTTCCTCACCTTTTGTCATCAAATCTCTTTTCTCTTTTATAGTTATTAACCAAATGTTCAATTTCACAAAAGAAGAAACCTCTGCTGTATTGTTGCATTGATTTGATACTTTGAGTGCTTTATACTTATGAGTGAATAGTGAATATACAGATCCCTTCAAATTAATCATTCCCATATATATTCACTTGATAGCTTTTTCACTTGAGGTAGAGCTATTATGTATTGCTGGAGACTATTTGTACTTGAGAAGGCAAGATTCTGTGTGCTTTTTGCAATGGCCTTGGGCCTTTCAGAGACAGTCTGTGGTTCCACAGTATTCTTACCTACAGAATTTGGAGGAGAGCTATTCCTAACACATACATGTTTGGGACACAGGGATAGCACCTCTTCTCTCATATTCATTCTGAAGTAAGCAATGAAATACATGAAATCACAGACACTAAATGGTCCTGGAATTGAAGGTCATGGTGGCTTTTATTTTCAAGAGAAAGACTGTGATATACGTCATGGATGGTGGTTCTGCTGTCGAAGAAGCTGCTACTATTTTTCAATTGAACAGAGAACTTGGAATGAGAGTAAGAAGTCATGCCAGAAACTTGGGTATAATCTCATTAAGATTGATGATGAGGAGGAGCAGGTACGTTGCTTTATCAACCTGACTGAGTGCTTTATGAGACGTTTGTGTGTGTGTCTTGAGTTAGGACCATTGTTCAGGCTTCCCTCTGATATTATGGAATGATTAGGATGAAGCACCTGCACTACTTGTGTCTTACCTGCAGAAGAGAGCACCCAGGTGTCACTCAGACTTGGCAGAACCACTGATTTAACCTTGAGGAATAACTTTATTATGAGTGCCCTTGAGTGATTTTAGATTTTTTTAATTACATTTGTTAAATATTTACATTTTTTTAGTTCATTGGAGTACTCAATATTTAGCCTGTTGGGAATAATACAATACAAAAGAAGCACTGTCTTCAGTGATCTAAGCGATGAAAGTCTATTTCTTTGTGTACTCACTTGTCTTCTAGCATCCAAATGAACTGATATCACACTTCCAAGTGAGATGAATCAGTCTCTTTCATGAGCATGGAAAAAGTGGGTGAAGATTATATATCAAAAGTGAAGGGAGCTGGAGCGATCCTTTGAAAATGCATTTTGTTTTACTCATAATCCAAATTGACAGAGAAAATTTGTATTTTCTAGAAGTGAAAAATCGATGTCTCATTTGCTGTCACTTAAGTTTTGATAAAGTCAAATTAGCAGATTTTGTAGATTTCCATGTATGTAATGATTTAATTTGGGCACTTTATTTGAGTTATGATTTTTTTAAAGATTTATTTATTTATTATACAAGCACTGGGTACAGTCAGAAGCGTGGGAGGGTGAGAGAATTCACCAGAGCCAGAGCGGGGAGCAGAACAGGCAGAAGGACCTAAGTACACTGCTGAGGGGAGCAGCGGGCGGCAGGAGAGGTCTGCGCTCCATGTGGGACCCTCCTCCGGTGGCCGGGGAGCAGCCAGGGATTGAACCGGCGCTGCAGAGGCTGTGGGCAGCTTCGCAACCCAGCGCTCAACCGCTGCCCACCAGGGAGGCCCTCAGTTATGATTTTTAACTGAACAAAGATATTTCCATTAAGTCCTCTAAAGGATAAGTTTGAAACACTTTGTTTTCTTGTTTATGTATTCCTCTATTAAAATACCGATGCTATGAATCACACTAAGTCTAAGGTTTCTTCTTCACATCCCCTGAAACACTTGTTTTTAGTCTTTATTTTTTTTCACCTTTTTCTGTTGGAAATATTGTTAACTTATTGAGTGAGAAGAATATTTTATTTGTTCTCATCTGAAATACTGCAAAAGCTCCCCTTCTCAGTCATGTCTTTTCACATTCTTCAGCGTGTATTCTGATGAAGTGAACTTTTAGGTTCAGTGCAGTCATATTTACCTGTTTACCTATTTATTTTCTCATTTATTTTTAAATTGTTTCATATGCTATTATGGTAACACTGATACAGAACAATGCATATGATTCAGAAGTATAAGTTCATTCCTCTTCAGATGTATTTTAACCCACCACAATATGCAACAAGGCACCCAGAATCCATTGGGTCCCATCATACTTTTTGCTCCAAAATACAGTCTATCTTTGTGTATGGAGATTTTCCTTTATATTCATTGCATCCCTTTTCTGATAACTTTTTTCTCTCAAACAAAGTTGGTCATTCATTCATTCATTCAGGGCTTTTTGCTTCTATTTTTCTTCAACACTTTAGAGAAATTATTCCCTACCACAATTATCGTTGGAATGTTTCAAGATATGTGTGTCTAGAATTATGAGTTGAAGATATATGTGTCTAGGATTTTATGAGTGTTATGATTGTTATTGCAAATGATACTTGCATTCTAATTTCCCACAGAAATTCATTCAATCAAAAATAATTAAAAGTTATTGGGTTGGATTACATAGAAAGGAACTAATCATCCCTGGCTGTGGCAAACAACTGTAAGTTTTTATTTTATACTTAACCCATTACTTTGTATCTCAGCATCTGATCTATAGATTATAATCAAAGAACAGATAGAATCTTGAGGAATTTAAGAGCATCTTTAATGATATTTGAAATCAATTTTATGACAGGCATCTGAATATTTACTCAGGAACCCAAATAATCAGCTCCAAGGGAAATAATTCTTATTTTCTCTAATAGAGGGCTCTTCCATGCAAATATTTTCTTTTACATCTTTTTAAATATAGTTGTTGATATTAGTTATTTTGACAGGTGTGGTAGAGGAAAGTGTACAAATAGAACAAGAAAGAAAAATTGTGCCTAAACCTAGTCCTCCTTTTACATGATATTTGTATTTGTTCACTTGATTTGATATAGGAACTTAAAAATATCCATTTTCAATAAATCTGTAGTAATCTTGAAAGTTTAGTGTCATAATAAACATCATTAATACCATGATGCCACTATTTTGCACAATTCTACAAATTCCAGGTATTCTTGTCTCAGTGAGTCAGCATAGTTTTGTTGGTTGATGTGGAAACTAGTTTAGGAAATGAAGAACAAATTTATGTTTATCTAATATCTGGTAGATGTGGGACAAGAAGACTAACATGATGATTGAAAACAGTTTATTGGTGCCTATTATGTGCTGCTCACTATTCTAGGGATATATCTCACGGCTGTGGCATCAAATATGGCAAGTGTCCTTCCCTATTGCTCTTGCATCCTGATGCAGGGATGGGCTGATGATGAGGGAGCTGTAATAAACCAAATTGCAGTTAACTGCGTCACATATTAGAAGGTGGTGAATGTGGAGTGATGTGAGGTCCCTACTTCTTGCTACTTCCAAAGTACCTCTTAGTGTATGGACATAAAAGGAAGATATTTCTCTGGCCTAAAGGAGGTGGCTGAAGTAGTCACCAGAGACAGGGATGTTTGTACAGTTACTAGAAAGAGCAAATCATGTAGCTATGAGATGGACAGTGTCCTAGCTAGAAAAACTGCCGGTGGTGGAGCACTGGGTGGGAGTGTGTGTAGCTGTTCCAGGAAACAGCAGCGGGGCCTGTGATGCTGGAGCTAGCAAGCCATGAGGGAGAAGAGCTCAGGAAGGTAACAGGGTGAGGAATGTGGACAGCAGAGGTTAGCATAACAACTTTGATCTTACAGTGGAGGGTTGAGCTGAGCAGTCTCACTGAAAAAGAGACTCATTCTGGACACTGTGTTAAGTTGATCCTGTGGGTGTGTGGGGGGGATAGATACTAGGTTGTAGGGAGGCTACTTGGAGTCACAGAGGTGGCAGACATGGTGTGTGGTGAGGACTGGCAGGGATGGTGCTGGTGAAAATGACCAGAACCCACACATAGTTCAATAATATGTAAGTGAGAAGTTCCAATGAGAGGTCTGTGTGGGGTCAAATTTGGCTCAACTCCGAGTGTAGATAGTGTTAATACTACGAGGCTGGAAGTGATCATCAGGTGTTTAAATGATAAAAAATGAATTATGCTGCCAAATAAAAAAATCAAGTAAAAAATATTATTTAATGTTTTCTTCTGTATAGTGTAGCCTAGTATGAAACTTTAAAATGCATGTTCCCTCTACTCATTTTCATTTCCCCAAATTGTGATGCTGTATTTGGCGTGGAGACAAGAGGCTCAGTGGGGAAT